CCATCTGCACTTTGTTCAGCAGAAGCACCTGACTGTCAAAATATGTACACTGTCCTATTGCACTTTAGTGGGTTCATTTTTCTGTCCAGGACAGAAATACCAACTGTGCCAGCCAAGACCTGCCTTTTGCCAGCTCATGCCACTCAGCATTGAATTCCACGGTTCCCTAGGGAGTTGCGCAGACTACAAGACACAGGGAATTCAGCACAGCACAGCAGACATATTACACTGCTTCTGAGTAGCAGTAGTAACTCGTATTATGCTACTGTAAGTCTTACAAACATTAGGTTTGGCAGCATTAGAGTACTCTAGTGTCATCTCTGTAACTGTTCTTCATGATGAGAAGATAGTAGTGGCACAACCAGAAATTACTTCTCTAAGATGCTCCTTTGCTTTAACAGATTTATCCTTTTCTTGCAAACAGATGGTTTGCTAAACACACAACTTCCAGGTTTTGAAGGAAAACCAACATCACCCAAATATTCCTGTACTACAGAGCTTTGGTTCACTCCTGGAGCCAGGGATCATCTTGCACAATTAGACTCAACTCTTGGGAAGAGGACAAAAGGAAAAAAGAATAGGACTCTGCAATAAGCAAATCATTATCAATAGGACTGATAAGTAGTATAACAGTAGTCATAGTACACATGAGAGGTGAACTTGCCAAGTTCCAACTCACTCCTACCTGGGGAAAGGGCATGGGCAAGCACCCTCCAGCCATTACAGCCCTCTGCTCTTTACTCCCCTCAATCCAGAGCTGCATCCCACTCCTGCCTCCTTCACACAGCCCGCTCCTCCGCTCAACATTTTCATTGCAGGCTTGCACTTTTATCCAGTCTTAAAATTTCTGACTCTGCTTCCAATCAGCACACACGTGGCAAAGACATGCTCGGGGATGGCAATATTTAGGATAGGGAAACCAAAGGACAACCCTCGATGTGCAAGCTAACATTTTTCTCAAAGGCTTGTTTGTCATGCAGTCAGCAGGCAGAGTGTTGACACGAAGCACACATTGCAAGTGCCCAACAGAGCAGCCAAAACACTGCAAGGAGCCTTTGATCGGTTCCAGCACTGCAGAACAAACTAGCTTCCCTCTGCTTGCTGCCTACAGCATCCAGACTCTTTTCCTCACCTACCCAAATCAACCAATTACATTTGAGGCGCAGACAGAATCCACAGAAAAGCAGATATCCGACATGAGCAGCACTGCACAGCCCCAGTAACAGACACTGTCACCCAGTTAGGAATATGGCTGTGGTCCAGCACCACTTCTTACACCAGGGGTCTTGGCTGCCTCCAGCCCAGCGAGATGGCCAAGAAAGTTTGAATTCACAGGTTGGAAGCTCATGGCAACTTACAAAGCAATACCCAGCTCTCAGCCTGCCCATGCCTCAGGTTTTTCCCCTCCCTGACCCCCACAGTGACTTGAATTTTCTTTATTTGGGCAAGTCCATTGCACAGCACCAGCTCTCCCCAACATCAGTTCCACCTGCCTTACAGCCTGGCTTCACCTGGAGAAAGTGCAATTTGTCATCTCATGATCAAGTAACATTTGTAATCTCACATAGCTGAGAGCCACAGCCCATAAGCCCAAGAAAAAGATGACCCACATACTCACCTCTCAGAAGTCTTTTCACAGTTCATAGCAACAGGTCAGTAAGAATAACCTATAACAAGGCACACGGGTGAACATGTTGCTCAAACTGATAAAATGTTTGCATTTCTATAGATACAAAAAAAAAAAAAGGAACAGGAACATATCTACAAACAGGTAGAAAAGATTTGTCTTCCTATAGATGCAAGCAACCTGAAGGAAGGTCTTGCAACAGTTTCTCATCCAAATTCTCCAAGGTGCTGAGACCCATCACAACATGCTTGAACAACATATCTTGGGAAAGAAACAAAACTTTATTTCGTAAAAGTTTGAGAAACTATTTATAAAACAAGCGAGGAACTGTGAATGAGGTAAAACACTATTTCCAAACAGCAAACAAAAAACCACCTCCTCCCCAGCTCTGATATAACACTCCCAAAGCAAGAACAGACTGGGCTTTGGCAGAGGACATCTGGAGTTCAGAGCACATGCCAGGCACCATCTCGCTGCTGGTGAGGGCTGTCCCTGCTGGAGGCTGGGGTGATACACTTAGATATCCCTGAGCACCAAGGGAGCCTGAAGAGTTCAGGTTTCCTCAGGAGGCAGTAATTATGCTGCCAGCACAAACCCTGATGATGATGACCCCTAGCCACCAAGCAGGAAGAATCAACCATCAAGAGGAACCTTACATCACCACCAAACAAGAGTGTCTGCACACACTGTCCACATACAAGTGAAGAACGGAAGCTAGTCTGGAGCTCCTTGGAAGACTTCACACACTAGGACAAAAACCCATGCCTAGGAGAGTCCTGTTCAGCAGCTGCTAAAGTTTCCCTGTCACCTTGGTATTTGTTCACCCCAGAACTCAACACATTTGCTTTATCAGACAGAAAAGCAAAACCCCAAACAATTTTTATGATTTATAGTAGAGGGCAAGGGGGAGGAGGAAAGAAAACCAGGGAGTTGGAGTACAGCCAAACAGTATCTTCCAGAAGATCCTGAGCAAGTTCAAGACTGAAGCAGCTGGTATCTGAAT